CCCGTGATCAAGTCAAAGTTCCGGCGCCGGCGGACGATTCCTCGTCCCTGGGCGTGTCCTGAACATCCGGCTCCCGTCCAAGCTGCTCCTTCAACGCCTTCCGGACGTCTTCGCTTGTGGCGTTGTTGGCGTCAGAGAACTGCTGCATGGCCTTGCTCCTCGCGATCGCGGCCCGGTGCTTTCGCCAAGCGAGGAGGAGCATGGGCGAGAAGAGGATGGCGCCAGGAGCTGCGAGGAGCAGTGGAAACACCGACACCAGCGCCCAGATTGCCGCATAGAGGATGTGACAGCATCCTGCTCGGCTGCAGCCCCGAACTTGCGCGTCTCGCAATCCCACGCGCACGAGCGACTCATGGTACTTGCAGACATCGTTGCCGAGATCTCTGTTGGCCTGCAGCGCCTTGGCAAGGGTGACGACCGCGCCCTGCCAAATGTCGATCCGCGGCAGTCTACTGATGTTCGAGTCGAACAGCGCCATGCGAGCGGCGACGACACCCTTGCGAAGATCAGGGGAATCTCCTTCGAGAGTTTTCGATTTGTCGGGGTCCGCGATCCTCGCCCTGCCACCCTCATTGACTGCATGCGCAGGTATGTCGTAGGCAACCGCGGCCAGCTTGCCCCTCAACTCGTTCATGACATCGTCAACAAGGTCGCAGTGCCTCTGGTTCCTCGTATCTCTGTAGATGTCCGGAGTGATTCCAAACCTGTCGAGACGCGCCGCGTCCACGATGACAGGCTTGCCTTAGCGCACCATGGCAGCGGAGCGCCAAAGCGTCCAATGCGTGTACACCACACCAGCAGGCACGATCCGCACAGAGAAACCCGGCCGGCCCTCGGCAAGCTCCTGCATCACTACACGTTCGGCGAAGACACCAGCGCCAGGCTTGAAAGGATTCAACTTGACTCGGCATCTACTGCCGCCCTCAGGCACCAGGGCGACACACTGGCCACGGCTCAGACCGTCCATCATCCGCTCGACGAGAGTCCTGTTCGCCTCCGCCTGCTGTGTGCCGCCGCCCTCGGTCTCCTGCAGGCGGACCACGGGGGCGGCCCCGATACGGTTCGCGATGCAACTCACGACGGACATCACTCCTTTCATCTTGAAGAGGAACGAAGCAGCACCGAATCTTATGTACCGCTTCTCCGTGGCCGAGAGGAGCAGCAGCATGTCGGCGAGGTCGCTGCTGTGGCTGAACGCGAGGATCGTCGGCACGCCTGGCTCTGGCAAATTCTCGGCGTCGACTGCGTGAACCTGGTCAAAGAACAGCGGCAGCAAGCGGCGGCAAGCATCCTTCAGCAAACAATAGACGACAGGTGCCCCATCGACGACACAAACCATTGCGTGCGCTCCTGCCGCGGTTGCAAACGAAGTTCTAGCCGGCACTATCTTTTGAGCCAAAATGGCTACGGATGTGTGTGTGTGTGTATGTGTGTGTGTGGGTGGGGGGGCGGATGCGGCGGCGTGCTCGCCATGACCATTCCTGACCTCCGCCCCACGCCCAGCCTCCTAGCGCCGGGGCGTCTGCCCGTCATGCCGCCCGCCCCCTCGCCAGGGTAGGGCCCTCGGCCGTGCCCCCCATGGAGCCCGGGGATCGCCTCTCTCTCTCTCTCTCTCTCTCTCTCTCTGTTCGACACCGGAGCCGCGTGCACCGCCCGTCCTCGCGCCCGAAAGGATGGGCGGCCCAGCGGGCCCTCGCCAATCCGGCCGCACCGCGACGAAGACCGCCCTCTGGCGGCCCCGCCGGCCCCGCTGGCCGGCCCCATGGCATGGCCCATCGCTGGCCGAAGGCGCGCGCCCGGCGGGTCGCCAGGGCCCTCCGCAGCCTCCCAGCCAACGCACGGCGCCCCCGGCACCGGAGCACGGCGGCTCGCCCCCGCCTCTCGACCGCGCCGCCATCTGCAGCCTCGACGGCACCAACTGGTTGTGGGCATACCTCTGACGACCCTTCCGCCCCTGACGACGGCGACGGTTCTCGTGGCGAGGAGCGGCAGCGCAGCGCGGTCCTCACCCCGCCTCGGCTCCTCCCGCCCGGCTGCTGGCCCCAGCCGAATTAACGGAGGTTGAGAGCGCCTTCCGCACAGCCTTCGACGAGTGGCTGGAGTCGTCCGGCCGCCAGTGACTGAGGGTGCGCCCCTTCTTGCTCCCTGCCCCTGCTGCCTCGAGCGCAGAGCTGCCCGCTCCCAGCGCGGGGCCTCGAGCCCACCACTGCCTGCCTCTGCACCTGCGGGCCGCCCCCCCCCGCCACCCGTGAGCGGTTGTGGCATCTACCTCCTGGAACTTAGATTCGGTTGCACTTGCTGCGGCCGCTCGCCAGAGCGGTCTTCCACGGCTCGCCGATTCGGGCGCCCTCGGCAAGCAGCCGCCACTCATGCACACTATACTGACATCGTGGTGGCCTTCGCCGAGAGGTGCCACCTGTGCCCGCGCCGCTCCTGCACGAGCAAGGGTGGCCACGATTGAGCTGTGCCCCGCAGGCGCAAGCCCAGCTGCGGTGGGTCCTGCGAGGAGGTCCGCCGGGCGCCCCTCCGTGGCCCCTGCTGCCTCGGGCGCGGCTCCGCCCGCCCTCGGCGCGCGGCGCCGCTCCGCGGCGACCCTCACTGGGCCCTCGGCCCCGCCCTCTTCCGCCGCCGCCGCCCGCCCCCCCCCCGTCTGCCGCCTCGTGCCCCGGCTTGGCCTCGCTCGCCCCCGGCTGCCACTTCGCGGCCCGCCTCTCCTCGCCCCTGGCCCTGGTCTTGCCGGGCCGGCAGAGGGGGCTTCTCCCTGCCATGCCCGCGCGGCTCCTGGGTGATCCTCCGGGGGCCCCTCGGCGTCCATCCTCCGTCGCCTGCCTCGCCTGCGGCTCTGGCCGTGCTCACCCCCAGCTCGCCCTGGACTTGCCCAGGCAACTGGGCGACGCGGCGCCGCTGTCGCCATCACGCTGCTCCGACTGACGCGGTCCCTGTGCGGTCCGCCGGGAGCTCCTCGGTGTCGACCCCGCGTCGCTGTATACCGTCCGAGTTGGCCGCTCGCGTTCGGCCCCGCCCTGGCCCTGCTGGACTCCCCGGCGGCGCTGCGCGGGTCTGCCGCTTCCTGTCCTCTCGCCCCCCCCCCCCCGCGGCCCTCGCCTCCTGTGGCCAGGCCTCCGCGTGCGCGCCGCGCCCGATCCGCTGGGCTCTCGGCGTCGGCCGCTGCCCGGGACGGGTCCTCCTCTTGGGGGTCGCTCCTGGGCCCCCGCGGCCCGCTGCCCTCCTCCCCCGGGCCTCTCGGCATCTCTGCCCTGCAGGCTCGCCGCAGTTTTCCCAGCCCTTGGCCGCCGCTGCCGGTCTGCCGTTCGCGTCTCGCCCTCCCGGGCCTCACCCGCGTCGGCGACCTACCAGACCACCCCAACCCAACCCGAAGACCCGACTTTCGGGTTGGGGGAGGTGCGGGTTCCATAGGTGTTTTCTCGATGTTCCCCGACCCCCCCCCACTGGAAATGGATGTCAATTTGAGGCCTTCGGGTTGGGTTGGGGTGGTTTGGTGGGTGGAGGGGGAGGAGAAGAAGGAGCAAAAGGAGAAGAGAGAAAAAGGAGCAAAAGGGGGAGGAGGAGGAGGAGGAGGAGGAGGAGGAGGAGGAGGAGGAGGAGGGAAGGAGGAGGAGGGGAGGAGGAGGAGGAGGAGGAGGAGGAGGAGAGGAGGAGGCGAGCGGTTGGTGTCGCTGACCTTGGTGGCGCCGTACGACGGGGGGCGCAAAGCTGCCGAACCAAACGCGCGAAGCAGCCGCCGCGACGGCGGCCAACTTCGTTGATCCGAGGGGACCCCGATGAGACCGCACCTCCTCCTCCCTCCTACTTCCTCCCTTTCCTCCTCCTCCCCCCCTCATCCCTCCCCTCCTCCCCCTCCTCCTCATCCTCCTCATTCCTACTACTCCTCCTCCTCCTCCTCCTCTTCCTCCTACTCCTCCTCTTCCTCCTCCTCTCCTCCCTCCTCCTCCTCCGTCCCTCACTCCGGCGAAAGGTCACTCTGACGTGTAGTCGACCTCGCCCCGCCCCGCCCCGCCCCGCCTCTCCCCAGCCAACTGGCCTCTCCAGCGCGCTGCGGCTTTTCCGGCTCTGGCCGCCCGCCGCTGGCTTTCTGCCGCGGCTCTTCGCCCGCCTGACTCCGATGATGCCTTATGTCGGGCGTGTCCCCTTACAGGGGGATGTATGACACAAAAAAAACCCAAATACCTCCTAAAGGTCAACAAATACTCAAAAATTACGCTACCGAGGAACCCCACATATTTAATTTAAATCTTAGGTGTTCGCTTATGTATATAATATATATGCACAATCCTGCGTTCTGGGCCCTCGTCGCGAATGTTCCCTGCTAGGCTTTGCGCCAGTGTCGTGGATAGCGGCCGAGCTGAGAGACCACCCCCTGCGCACCCCCTGTGGTGTCGAGAAGGTGCCACGCCTGCTAGCTTGTCCGCCAGTGTCGTGGATAGCGGCCGAGCTGAGAGACCACCCCCTGCGCACCCCCTGTGGTGTCGAGAAAGTGCCACGCCTGCTAGCCTTTGCGCCAGTGTCGTGGATAGCGGCCGAGCTGAGAGACCACCCCCTGCGCACCCCCTGTGGTGTCGAGAAAGTGCCACGGCTGCAAAGCTTTGCGCCAGTGTCGTGGATAGCGGCCGAGCTGAGAGACCACCCCCTGCGCACCCCCTGTGGTGTCGAGAAAGTGCCACGCCTGCTAGGCTTTGCGCCAGTGTCGTGGATAGCGGCCGAGCTGAGAGACCACCCCCTGCGCACCCCCTGTGGTGTCGAGAAAGTGCCACGCCTGCTAGGCTTTGCGCCAGTGTCGTGGATAGCGGCCGAGCTGAGAGACCACCCCCTGCGCACCTCGTGTGGTGTCGAGAAAGTGCCACGCCTGCTAGGCTTTGCGCCAGTGTCGTGGATAGCGGCCGAGCTGAGAGACCACCCCCTGCGCACCCCCTGTGGTGTCGAGAAAGTGCCACGCCTGCCAGCGTTGCGCCAGTGTCGTGGATGGCGGCCGAGCTGAGAGACCACCCCCTGCGCACCCCCTTGGTGTCGAGCGGCGAAGAGCTGCCAGCGCCTGCTAGGCTTTGCGCCAGTGTCGTGGATAGCGGCCGAGCTGAGAGACCACCCCCTGCGCACCCCCTGTGGTGTCGAGAAAGTGCCACGCCTGCTAGGCTTTGCGCCAGTGTCGTGGATAGCGGCCGAGCTGAGAGACCACCCCCTGCGCACCCCCTGTGGTGTCGAGAAAGTGCCACGCCTGCTAGGCCTTTGCGCCAGTGTCGTGGATAGCGGCCGAGCTGAGAGACCACCCCCTGCGCACCCCCTGTGGTGTCGAGAAAGTGCCACGCCTGCTAGGCTTTGCGCCAGTGTCGTGGATAGCGGCCGAGCTGAGAGACCACCCCCTGCCACCCCTATGGTGTCGAGAAACGCCCCTGCCCACCCCCTTTGGTGGTCTTTAGTGCGCAGTGTCGTGGATAGCGGCCGAGCCTGATAACACCCCCTACCCTTGGTGTCGCGAGAGCGCCACGCCTGCGGCCTTGCGCCAGTGTCGTGGATAGCGGACCGCGCTGAGAGACCAACCCTGCGCACCCCCTGCCCACCCCTTTGGTGTCGAGAAAGTGCCACGCCTGCTAGGCTTTGCGCCAGTGTCGTGGATAGCGGCCGAGCTGAGAGACCAACCCCCTGCGCACCCCCTGTGGTGTCGAGAAAGTGCCACGCCTGCTAGCCTTTGCGCCAGTGTCGTGGATAGCGGCCGAGCTGAAAGACCACCCCCTGCCCACCCCCTGTGGTGTCGAGAAAGTGCCACGCCTGCTAGGCTTTGCGGACAGTGTCGTGGATAGCGACCGAGCTGAGAGACCACCCCCTGCGCACCCCCTGTGGTGTCGAGAAAGTGCCACGCTTGCTAGCCTTTTGCGCCAGTGTCGTGGATAGCGGCCGAGCTGAGAGACACCCCCTGCGCACCCCGTGTGGTGTCGAGAAAGTGCCACGCCTGCTAGGCTTTGCGCCAGTGTCGTGGATAGCGGCCGAGCTGAGAGACCACCCCCTTGCGCACCCCCTGTGGTGTCGCGAAAGTGCCACGCCTGCTAGCCTTTGCGCCAGTGTCGTGGATAGCGGCCGAGCTGAGAGACCACCCCCTGCGCACCCCCTGTGGTGTCGAGAAAGTGCCACGCCTGCTAGGCTTTGCGCCAGTGTCGTGGATAGCGGCCGAGCTGAAGACCACCCCCTGCGCACCGCCTGTGGTGTCGAGAAAGTGCCACGCCTGCTAGGCTTTGCGCCAGTGTCGTGGATAGCGGCCGAGCTGAGAGACCACCCCCTGCGCACCCCTGGGTGTCGAGAAAGTGCCACGCCGCTAGGGTTTGCGCCAGTGTCGCGAAAGTGCCACGATAGGCTGGCCCGACCGAGCTGAGAGACCACCCCCTGCGCACCCCCTGTGGTGTCGAGAAAGT